TAGGGGAGATGTGGGGGTTGTGGGCATAGTTTTGTTTTTGGCTTATAATTACCGAACTAGTGAATATTATTTGGACATATGCTGTAAAGCTAGAGACCTAAGCTAACTAATTATGAAGAAACATACTTGATTTTGTCATGCGAAAAAATTTCATATGGACTTTTGTAAAATCGTAATTTTCAGCTAAAATTTTTTTTTGGGGGGGTTGTGGGCACCCTGGGAAAAAATGCTGCAAATGGAATAATATGGAAAAAAACCGCAACCAATATCAACAAAATGACAATTTATTTATTTCAAAGACTACATAGGCGATATTCATCGTCGGAAACACAATTTTGACATGTATAATGACTGCCCCGCATGTCCATACATTTCGGATGAAAAATGAAGAATAAAGTGTTAAAATCTTAGTGATAATCCCTCTCAGCGGGAGAGGATCCCTTTCAAGAGCCTAAGATTTATACAATAATGTTCTAGAGGGTTCCAAACAAATTTTGAAAACAATTTTACAAGAAATTGTAGGTAATAAAAAAATTTGCCAAAAAAAAACGGGTGCCCACAACCCACCCAATTTTGGTGCCCACAACCAACTTTCGCAGACATTTTAAGAAGTAATTAAAAAATGTGTTAGCATAAATTTTTTGGTTCAAATCGATATTGTTCCATTTAGTATATTGCTTTGACCAAATAAAAATGCATTACACTTACCTTTTTAATCGATTCACTTTAATTGATACACTATTGAAAATCTTTGAATAAAGTTTCACCACCTTTTCCAAGCACAAGAAAAACCAATTCGTTAATTTCAAAAAGCAAACGCGTCTGTTTACTTTGATATTTGGCATAAATCATACATAGGGTAATTGCTTGCGAATGACATTACCAAAAAAATTCAATCTTCATTTTGTGAAGATATACGTAGGGGTGCCCACAACCGACCCATGCCCACAACCCCCACTTCTCCCCTACATATTTTATCAGAAAATGTTTTCTATAAAAGCATAAATATATATTAAAAGGGTGATATGTTGCATTCAATAAATGATAACATCTATAGATAAAGCCACAATTTGCTGGCATATTATTTAGAAAAGCTAACAAGCTCTTTTTTTATTAAAAATAAACTTTTTTTTGTTACATTCTTCAAAGGGATAAAGTATTAAAATGTTTCAGGGAACTTCCTGTACCTAAAAATAGTTTAATCTTCTAAAAGTTCATCCCACATCTGCTGGAGAGACAACTCTGAACTCTTTTGCAGCTTGAGGCGAAACAACTGGTAGCAGTGGCAGCCAAACATTTATTGTAATTCGAAATCAATCAATAGAACCTATAAAAAAGTGAATGGGAAGTTGAAGAAGAAACCGGGCCTTAATACCCGCATTCCCGCATCTGTGGGCAAACAGTTGGCTCCTCCCTCTTGACTGTTTAATACTTATTTAATCAAGTTAATGTAGTTAAATCAGCTTAAGCAAATATTCTCCAGAAGCAGCGGTTGTCGAACACAATGGACCAGGCCCAGATCAACCGTTCATTCTGGCCTTGGCCGAGGAGAAATGCCAGAGCGAAAGCGAAAGCGGGCTTTCCATTCTCCCCCACACGTAAACTAATACAGATAAAAGGGCATTCATTACAAAAGACCAAAGCGGCAAAGTTTTTCATCGACGGCGATGTCAGATTTGCGACATCAGCGCAAGGAGCTCAGCAGTACACTGGGAAAAAATAAATAAACTTTTTTTGTTTCCTATTGTTTTTTAACAACTTTGTAAAGACAAAAGAGCCATGGAATTTTACAGATTTTTTTGTTAGACATTTAAATAATTTTTATGTAAATAGAGGATTATATATTTCATTACAAAAATTGAATTATGTTTTTGTTTGTGGCAGAAAAACAACTAATGAACCAATTTATTAAATGTTTAGCATATAACATATTAAATAAAATGAATTATGTGCTTGCATGTTGTAGAACAACATTATTTATGGAATTCAGTAATTTCAAATTAATGAACAAACTTAATTAAGGCCTAAAACAATGCATACATGTTTTGTGCTGACATGCACAACATGCTGACATGCAAAATAGGGAAACAAAAGGACATTGAAATGCACTTAGTATGGTATTTAAAAGAGTGATCCTATGTACAACCCAATGTTACCTATAACACATAATAAAGAATTTTCCTCTCTGCAAAAAAAAAGAACAGACGCGGGAAGAAAGTAAGGTGGAGAAAGGAGAAGTGGAGAAGAGGAGAACAGACCTGGGACCACGACCAATGGCCACCGAGTGACCACACTGCCTGGAGTCATTAATATTAAGTAATCGTGAAGGATGCTCTCTGGTGTATAATACGTACCTCCCACAGCGCCCCCTTTTCTCCCTTTTCCCTCCACCCTTGACCTTTGGTTCGCCCCCTTCGAACAACCTGTACTCGGAAGTTCGTGAACCCGCTCATTGACCATGAGTTAACCATGAGTGTTGACTGTGGTCGTAAATTCACCAAAGCCTCCATCTCCACACCCACACAAACATACACACACCAACAGTTATGAAGAACCATTGGGGACAGTGGGCGGGGCTAGGCCTACTGCCGCCCACTTTCAATGTCTCACAATGGACAGATTAGTGAAGTGCCAAGACCAAATGGACTTGGGCATTACGAAGGGGAGCAGGAGGAGCTGGAGCATGATGAGGAGGTGGAGAACCAGGAGGAGTCGCCGCACAACTGCACAATGGGGAAATGGTCCAAACGGAAGCCAAATGGGGGCTAAATCGAAATCTTGTGGTCAGCAAAGTGATTTCGTGAGTGGCAGGATTCCTGGTCTTTTGTCGGTAATCCAGAAATAAATTCAATAATTAATAGATTGATTTAATGGTCGCCAAGGAGTTAATTGAATTCACGAGATTTAAATTGGCAGAATAAAATTTTTTTAATAAGATTATCAGATATTTTAATTAACTAGCAACAGCTTCAAAAAAAAAAGAAGCTAATTAAGTCCATCCGAGTCATTAAATTGATATCCCCAATTCATGCTTAATTGCAGGTGGAAAAGCAGCCAAATGACTTCAACTTTGCACCTTTGATAAGGTCAATTTTTGGTCTTTTTTTTGCGTTGGCAGGCAGACAGGCAGGTAATCTAAAAGTTTTCCATCTTTGAAGCCTTACGACCCTTCTGGGAAATTTAGCCCCACCTGATGGGCTCTTCTTGTAAGTGTATGTACGTACGGGGAGCCAAACAAAAAATGGGTTAAATTTATGAGCTTAAGATAATGTGGTGGTGCTGCTGCCCCGAAATGGAGCAGCCAAAAGGCAGAGAATCCGCTGCATGTGGACGACATTCAACGTGGATTCTGGCAGCTTCTAACCCAGTTTTTCCCCGACCGAACGAAATTCAAATTAAATCAGCCTGGACCTGACCAAAGTTGGGTTTACATTCCTTGAAGCTTTAATTGCGCATTAGGCTTAATTAACAAATTCATGGAGGAGACGTGGTCTCCAATGGCCCAGGCCATCCCCACCAATGGCCCTCGTGATGATGTGATGTCTGCCATTTAGCACGGTGCTAAAGTGTGAGTGGTGGAAATAGTTTTTACACATTTGATTAAAATGTTGCAACCCCGCAAAGTTGCCTCCGCACTTCTCGTTCACCCGCCTTTTTCGTACGTTTCGCTTGGCAATTGTGGTTGTGTGAATTAAGTTTGTGGCAGCTTTGTGTAAATTTTGCCGGACACTTGGACACGCTTAGCAAATTAAAATGCCACAAAACTGGCCAGGGAACTGAGCTGGCTCTGGCTTGAGCGGCATCTTCATTAAAATTTTCGCCCTGAGCCCCGGCGTCATTTCAATGCGGCCTTTAACGAGATTAAAGAATAGGACCAGCATAAATCCCAGCTGCACTTGCAATCGTGGCCAACAAAAGCCAGCCGTGTGCCCTTGGCCCCGGTTGAACCGAACTGTTCTGTACTGAACTGAACAGAACCGAAAAATAAAAGGAGGGTGGCCAACGGGGCGTATGAGCGTTAAATAAGTGTGTGCAAAGTATCTGCGGTCGGGCGCTGCGCTCATTAAGCAAATTCAGGCCAGCTGAAAAACAGGAGGGGGTGAGCTCAACTCATAATTCTGAGTCACCTTTTGCTAATACTGCAACGTAGTAGGCGGTGCTTGCACCACTTCAGCTGGATGAAGGCAACAAATCCGCACAAATTGCACTCGCAGCGGGAGTGCCAAGAAGCAAAAAGCAAAAAGGGGCAACTACAAAATAAAAAAAACGAGCCACAAAAAAAAAAGGAGTGAGAGCGGTGGCATGCGACATTATTGATTTAAATGCCATAAACACCAAAAAGTAGCACACACACCAGCGATGACACACACATCGAAGCACGGCAAGTGGCACATCCGAAAGATACTTTGAATGTTTTTCAAGATAGCCCGCAGCGGAAGCTAAAAGCCAAGAAAAACAAACACGCTCCCACCTGTGATATTTATGTGTTAGAGAGCTATATGTGTGTGTGTGTGTGTGTGTGGGTCGGTCGCATTAATGTGAGTTGGTAATATGCCGCACACGTAGACAACTATTAACTAAAAGAGACACAGTGACAGACGGACGCACTAAAGCATACATTTAGGCGCTGATGGGCGGATATGTGGAATGGTGACAGTTGGCTGGTTGGTTCGTTCATTCGTTCATTCGTTCGCTTCCATTTCTGGATGGCCTAAAATGACTCCCGGCCTGGAAAGAAATTTGTAACAGATGCGGGCCAGCACACAATTGACTTCACAGCGAGCCCGCGAGTAATTGGAGACAACTGCCGGCTGCTCCGGCTGCTCCTGCTGCTGTTTCTGATATTTTATTTTATATATATATTTTTTTTTTTTTTTTTTTGTTGTTATTTGCCCTGCTTTGCCTTTAGCTTTGTCTCCGCCACAAAAACCGCCAACGCGAGATCCGCCCGCCCCCTTTTTCTGGGTCGTAATTGCGGGCCCAGATAAGCGCTTTATTACCGATTCACTGGCTTTTATCGCATTTTAATAACTCACGAAAAAATGCGCCAAACGAGCGCCGACCTTCCGCGTTACAAACTGTTTACGTTACGTTACGTTATGCGCTGGCCAAAAATCACGACGTTACGTTACGTTACGTTAGCGGCAATATCGCGTTAGCTAGCAACTTTCGCGACTGCCAGCCAAAGCACAACTGAATTGCTGGGACCGCTGGTGGAACAGAACTGAACGCTACGACGGCTGCCGCTGCTTTGAATTCGAAAACGAAGTTCGTCATCGGGCGGCAAAAGAAGCCGAAAGTTGGAAAATGTCCGAGGGAAATGCCGAGCCGACCGTTAGCCGAATAACTGCAGTTGTTTTTCGAGAGGCGGGGGTGGTGCTGGGTGCTGGGTGGGTTGATTCGGTTTGGTCGGAAAATGTGGGCGGCCTTGCTCACTTGCATCGCCGAATTGCTGAAGATGCCGCACGGAAGTGCGTGCGTTGCTGCAGTTCTGCCGGGGTATTATCCCAATGAAAGACTAAGGATTAAATTCGCATCCGAGCATTAAGCATGCATGCAACGAATGCACTTGCTGATTATTATGCTGATAGAATGGCTTAATAATGGCAGAACGCAATCCGAATACATTATGGTAGTCCCAGTAGTCTATATGCTCAGTGATTTATTTAATTTTTAATCAATAAAGTGCTCTATAAATGCGTTTTATTGGCTGGATTGTTATTGCCCTGCCAGCTGTTTGTAATACATGCAATGCGAAAACTCTTCACTTAAACTTATTTAGCTTTACGTAAGAGAAAAATACCTTAGCTAAAATGTTATTTCAGCAATGGTATTTGGAAACACACAAGCTTAGGCATTCATCTCGTTCAGAGATATTTGATAGGTATTTAATAAACAGAATGGATCTATTAATCCATGATTTCTGTTATTCTTGCCTTGACTTTTTGCTTATCGCTTCCAGCTGCTGGTGGCATGCAAAATCCCACTGTAGATGGCCTAGCCTGTCATTCTGTTGCGCAAATTAGCCGCCACCCTCCGCCATCCCTCCCCCTGCCACCCCCTGCAACCCCCGCACCTTCGGCGGGTTAAGCCGCCTTCTTTGTTAGTGAGAGAGTGTGTGTGTGGGCTGCTTAGCTAGTTTCAGCTTAGCCAGCTGCCTGTGTGCGTGTGCATCAAATCATTGCCGACTTTTGTGCGCAAATATTTACGACAACTGGCAGCTGCTTATCCCCGCACTCCTGCCAATGCACAGGGAGAAAAACTGTATTCATAAGATATCCTTTGTTTAAACTCATGATTTTAAACAGTGAACACAAAATTATCTTTCTTAATCAAGGGGAAGGCATACTTTTGTTAAGTTGTTTTGCGCTTTCTGATTTAAAAATGCATTTTTGTTTAAACAGCTTTTTTAACGAGGCATAAGAAATATTTATTTCTATATTCTAAAAATACTTTTAACAAGTGAACGTAAATTATTGGTAGTACTTATTTTTAGGTTTAATATACATATATGGCTGGCATACGTGTCGTATGCGTGATTTTAGTCCCAAGTACTTAATGATAAACTATTATCGTACATAAGCATTTGGAATGGTTAAAATACGTAAGCTACAAAACTACTCATTAATCTTGTTTGTAAATTAAAACCTCATTATTGGTTTTGAGAATGTTCCATAAATTAAAACCTCATTATTGGTTTTGAGAATGTTCCATAAAAAAGCAACAAATGTCAAAGAAAGAAAATTCTATTAGTGTCTAATTTTTTTCCAGTCTGCTGTCCCATCCCAGAGGCAAGAGGACACCGAAAAGAAACAAAAGCATGCGTCTAACATCTAACGACGACAACAACCTGTCACGCCAGCTGAGGTACGGCTACGGGTTTTTTTGTGAAGGGCTCTGGAGGGTCCGGAGGGTTCGGAGGATTGGGAGGGGAGGAGACTTGGGTACGGAAATGGGCACCGACAGCGAGAGAATGGGTCCTCTAACAAGGTGGCCCCCCTGCAGAGAGGGAGACAACAATGCGTTAGGGGGTCAGTCGACAGCAGCAACAGAAGCCAGAAACCTGTGGAGATTCGGGAGCCGGAGGTGCTCCACATGAGCTGACACCGGCAGTCGAACGAGCACATGTACGGTACATGGAACCCGGCTTTGGCATTGGGGATCCCTGGCCGTAATGGCCTCCAAAACAAAAGGCGTGCTTGTTCAGCAGCGGCAATAGGCTCACCCTCTCTCTCTCTCTCGCTCACTCCGAATCGCTCCAATGCCATGTGTACATTTGTCTTTTTGCAAATTAATTTATAAACACAATTGACATTGAGCCGGAATGTAAATATGCCGCTGAGAATTGTTGTTGCCTTGCATTAAAAATTCAAGTCCCACTCTGTCACATCTGCATGCTTGCCGCATGTGTGTGCGTGTCCCGTTATGGGTGTGTCTGTGTGTGTGAGTGGAGTGCCTCCATGTGTGTCTGTCTGCGTGACTCGCCCCCACTCATCTGTGTGTGTTTGTCTTTTGCCATGGCCTGGCATTTATATTTCCCTCCAGGAAACAGCAACAAAAGTTGCGAAATGCCAAGCTGACGTTGCACTTAAGGAAATAGGCTAACACAAATATTGCTGAAACGGAGGACAGTTGGTCGGCGGCGCCGCCAGGGGAAATTCCAATATTAGTTATGACCTTCGAGTGGGGCACTTTTCAAATAAATAATTGAATAAAATGCTAATTGGCCTGGCACCCATCTTCGTGCATCTTTCTAAGTCAAATTTATGGGAAGGAGTTTCATGAGGGGAAAGGTCATTTGTGGTTAAATTTTAAAGTCACTATGATTCAGAGATACCAAAGTCGAAACATTAAATTGAAAACAAAAAGCGTCGAAGGGTATTAATTACTAAAAAATATATTTAAATATGATATATGAAAGAAATATGATAGCTTATCAACAAACACTCACACACGTTGAATACCTATTTTTCTGCATATCAAATACAACTTTTTCCCTTTACTGAAAGGATAAATACATGCAAAAGTTTTCCCTTCAAAAAATGTTATTAAATGCTGGCTTTCACCATTAAATACCAACATTTCACCATGCAAACACTTGAGCAAAGGAGAAAAATTTCGAATTTCATTCGCTTTAACTTTGCCAAACGGTTATTAACTTTCAAACGTGTCTGCTGGACCTTAATGGCTGCAAAAAGCAACCTTATAACGAAAATACAGTCATAGTCATTCGTATGTTTGCACCAAAGGGAAAAATGGTTAAAAGTTCTTAAGACCGGCGAAACACTTTGGCCAGAGAACCTAAACAACAAGTTGTCGTTGACTTACAAACTGATTTGCAATTTTATAAAGAGCCTGGCTTTGTTGCCTTTCGAAAGAGTGGTAATGGTATGGTATGGGTTGGTTGGATGTTTGGTTGTTGGGTTGGGTACAATATATATGCACTGAAATGCGAAAGCACCGAAACAAAAGCTAAACAAAACTTTTGTTTGTCCTCATCGGGTGGCAGAAAAACTGCTGACTGACTTGGATGAAATTTGTCGACCAGGCCTAAGCCACAGAGTCTCCCTTCATCTGCTGCTGCTGCTGCTGCTGCTTCTGCTGGTGGTGACCTTTTTTGGCTGGCAAAAATTGTAAAACTCATTTACATAACAATTACCGCTTGACACGGCGATGCTCCCCACACTTTTCACCAGCGCCTTTCGGCCCAAAACAAAACTCGACTTCACATTGGGTAATACTTTGAAGTCTGGGCCCCAACTATATCTATTGTTTGTTGTTGTTGCTTTTTCTGTTGTGGCTCACATGTTGTCTCTTTCCGTTTGTCTTTCCGTCCCGCTTGCACTTCCCTCTCCCAGCCCCCGCTGGTGGCGCCACCTGCCGGCACTTGCGGGACTGACATTTTATTTAGATTGCTTTGCATTTTCAACTTTTCTCCATTTTCCAACCGCCAACTGCGTGCAGTTTTCAATACACAGAAGGAAAATGTGCAATCATAAGATCAATGTTTAATATTCGACTTTTCCTTTTTTTGGAGATTTCACTTTTTACAATAAGATCCTTAGTGAAACTATTACTACAAGAAAGTATGTCTATCTTATAGTAAATATCTTTTCTATCTAGTTTATAATATATTTATTTTTTTTTAACTTTTACATTTTGGTATTTTTTTTTTTTTTTTGTGTAGCACACTAGACTTCCCCCGACCATAAAACTTGTTGGCTTTAACTTCCCCCGCACTTCACTTTCATTATGTGCCAGTTGCATTGTCTTGACTTTTTCGCATATATTTCACCGGGTTTTCCCCGACCCCAGTGAACGTTTTTTTTTTGTTCGTGATGCGGTTCCGCCTCGGTTATGTGACACGGGGATCTGAACTGTTTGGCTCTAGACACTGATTAGCCGGAGAAGCACTTACAATTTCATCCAAAGTGTTCGTCGGCTCCTTCATACCATGACGTTAGAGATTCATCCAATCTGCCGGTGAGAGAAAGCAAACAATGGAGAAGTCAGAATCAGCAAACAGACAAACAAATAATCATTAAATATCAGATGTACAATGTGGGTGATGTGATGTGATGTGTTAAGGGGCGTCGATATACAAGTGTTTGCTGCCAAGGAAGTATTCCTTTTCCCATTCCTGTCTGCATGTCTGCATGTTTGTATGTGTGAGTGTGTGAGTGTGTGGGTTTGGCAAATATGTTTAAGAAAACCAGACAAACAGACAATTTAAATTTGTATTTTCAACAATTTTTTTGTGGCTTCCCTCTCGTTTTGCACGATTCCCTTGCCAGGGGAATAAAAACTGAAACAGGCTTTGCTGGCCAGTGATGGAAATACCATTTATTTTTCTTAAAATTTATAAAATTTATATACCACATATTTTTCCAATGTTTGCATTTTATTTTATTATCATTGGGAATTCTTTAAATTCCGAAAACCCATCAACTAATAATTGTCTTTGGTATTTGACAGATATTCTACTCTAGTTTGGTAAAATATTTTTGTTTTTCTAGCTTATGAATTATTTAAGATGCTTATATTTAACCGACTAAAAGCCGCATTGCTTTATGTTTGTGAAATAAATATTTGCTTTCGTGAATAAACTGGTTTGTTGGAAAATCGCTCTTGAATTTTGTTCACGTTTAGAAAGTGTACTTTATGTTTCGACGCGATAAAATTTAAGTTTAACGAGCAGGTTGAGTGGGGAGTTTAGGGGGTTTGTGGTTGCTAACAATGCTTACCCACAGGGACTTCCTCACTTTAACACACATACTGGCACCCACATACTCATACGTATATGTGCACAAAAGGCAGCCTTATCAATTTCAAGAATTTTTCCGTAAAAATATTAAAAAAAATAATTTGCCTTTTCTTCATGCAACATTCAAGTAAGAAATGATAAAAAAAATAGGACGAAGGGAGTGAGGACCTAATACCCATTTCCTTTTTGAACCATCTCTCACCCAACGAAGATTCACTCTTTTTATGTGACTTATTTAGTTCAACAAAAGAAGAAAAAAGCGAAGGACACAAGCGGTGGGGAAACGAAGTTCATTCTTATTAAAATCATGACATACACAGCAGAACTCGCAGTCATTTGCATTTTCCAACGAGTCGCCCTGTCGGCCTAGATACTTCGCTTCCTCTGTTTTTTAAGTTGATTGCCACATAAATTTCATGTAATCTAATAAAATTTGAATTGTCGTCGACTTTTGTTTCGGCCTGAATTTGTAAAGTGAACTGGCAACCGCAAAAGCCAGTACACCAGATACTTTTAATGGGTAGTATTTGGAATAAGAATTAGATGTTATATCGTGAGAGTATTTAATTTAAGCTGATGCATAAAAGAAGGGTTTTACTAAATGAAATTGATTTTTTATATCAAAAAGTAACGATCTGACTATCAATTCCAATTATTTTAATGCGAGTATATATTGAATTGAACAATGGCTATAAAATACTTTTACCCTATATACAACTATATCTACATTCATTTATATATGTTTATTTATTCACTGTGACACGATAAAATTCTA